TATTGTCCGATTTTTTAAATTTTCGGCCATTTAGTATGATGTACCAAGGCCAACAACTGTGCCATGTTTGGAAGTTTGCAAAAATTTATAATATTCTTATTTTTCGCCTGAAAATTATTACAAATATCAATTTTGAGTGAATCATCTTCAGTAGTTACTAAAATATCGCAGTTTTCGTATTTCTGGAAATTACCGTTATATGGGAAGTGGGCGTGGTTATAGTCCGATTTCGCCCATTTTCAATACCAACCTACCTTGGATTAAGGGAAACCTACATACCAAATTTCGTTGAGATATCTCAATTTTTGCTCGAGTTATCGTGTACACGGACAGACGGACAGACGGACAGACGGACAGACGGACGGACAGACAGACATGGCTTAATCGATTTCTTTTTTCATCCTGATCATTTATGTATACATTTGTCTATATCTATCTCGATTCGTTTTGGCTGTTACAAACAACCGTTATGTGAACAAAATTAATATACCCTTGTGCACAAGTGCGCTCGGGTATAAAAAAAACGTAAAAAAATCGTTTGTGGTAGAATTGCATATAATAAGTATCTGTGCTATTTATTGTTCTTTCAGAGATATTTTCCAGTTTACTTTCCAACTGGCATATACTATTTTTTTTCGAAGGCTCCAGTTGCTGGCTCTTTGCACTAAATGCACTTCTAAGTATTACACACCTAAATATTTAGTAGATCTAGCAAGAGACATTGCAACAAATGTTGCTGTGATTTCATTAATAAGAATTGTGAGGTAGATTTTATCGATGGAAAGGTCCACTCTGGTTCTAAGATTTCAAAGTATTAACCTTTAATTAGGCGCATGAGGTAGAAAAAAATGTCTTGGAGTGCTTGGAGCGTGCTCGCGCTATTTCTAGCTTCCTGGCTCACCGCGGGGTACGTAAATTAGTCACTGACAAAACATTGGCAACACACATACCGCTACTCTCTTAAGTGCTGACCCCATGCGAACACTAAAGAAATATTTTTTAGAGGAGGAAAGTTTTTATTTCCTTTTTTGATTTATTTATTTTATTTTTTTTTTTAAGTTTATGATAACAGAGTACTTTAATATTTTTGATAATACACACTTCTTTTTTTTTAATTGTAAAACTCTTTTTCTCAATTCTTTTATTGGGGTCACTCGGGACCTCATGCGACCTCATTCCAGGTTAGCGATTTGATGTTTTTGAAAATGCGTTTTTAGTTTTCGAAAACTATAAAAAATCGGTATCCTTTTTTTTTAAAGGCGACTTTTATTAAAGTTTATTATAAAAGTTTAAATATCACCACATTTCCTAATTACTTTTTCAAATTACCACGACACCAAAAATTTTAAGACGTGAATGTATTTGCAGGTATCAAAACTGCCTGCCTATCAGCGATAGGCTTCAGCTCACATCTGGGCTTTGAACTCCTTAATGCACATACAAATTTTGAAAGCTGTATCACAATAATTGGCGCCTTTCTCATTCTTGCAACTATTCACGGCCTGTTTTACTTCGGTTTCATGCCCCTTCATTGCTGGAATTTTCATTAGTTGCTTTATAGCAACATCAGCATTGTAAACGCTCTTATTGAAGATGCCCTGCTTCTCCAACAAACATTTAACGTGACATTTTATACTATTCGTAGCTTCGCTAGCCTTCATGCCGTTCTCAAAGAATTTCTTTACTTCATCTTCCGTGGTATTGGACTCAGACAGGCAGGCTATTCTATTCCATTTATCCATTTCGTCGCTTGATTGAGACTACCGGGAAATAAATATAATTATTTAGTAATAAAATAAATGGGGCATTGAGAGCTAGACTGGCCTAACTGACATACAAAAAAGTGTTTTTAGATAGGCTCCTCTAGTTCACATGGCCTCATATGCACTTCTGTATGTCTGGTTTGTTATCACCCAAGTTCAAACACCAAAGTTTATTTTATAGAAATTTAGCCAGCTTACCATTACAAATGTGACTGAGGCAACTAGCGCAGTCAGTCCAATCAGCGCGTATAAAGCTTTCATTTTTGCATATAGCAACAAAGTATGCGAATTGACTTGTTTATACAATGGAATCAAAAATATTACTAAATTATTAGTGCAAGCGAACAGCGTTTATAAAACAGAAATTTTGCTTTCGCTGACTTTTATTTAGTGCCGCATTTCATGGTCTGTGTAACTCAGTTTGTTCTATGACTTTTTTCGATGCGTCTCAGGACATTTTTTGTAATCATTTTGCAAATTTCTATATATGTATTACTATGAATATCGCTCGGTTTACTAACTCTTTTTGACATAAATTTGAGCTTAATTTGGCCAAAATAATTGTTCAGTAATTTGCCAATTATGACACGTTGTGTTTGTCGGTTAATCAAACATCAAGCTATACAATACGACAAAGTTTGCTTTTGTTATTAGTTCAGGAAATAATTTTCAATAATTTCATAAATTTAATTCGTAAATTATTAAATAACTTTTAATAATTACAATGCGTTTAGTTGACGAAAAATGAAATGGAAGAAGAATGGCGATTTTTTGTGACTAATTCGGGGTGACTACGCGATCACTTGCAAAGAAATATACGATTTATACCAATTGACCAACAAATTTATTTTATCGTAATATTAATACCAAAACTATTGGTAATGATAACTAATCGAAATACAGCGATAATAACGCAGATAGTAAAAGTGCTAATCATAATGTTAATAGAATTGTAATGTCAATGGTAATGGTATAGATAATGTAATTATTGGAGTGCAATGGGTATAGAACATATAGCAACCCATAAGCGAAATGCGGCAACCAATTTGAGTGGTGCCTTGGGTCACAGCAGAAAGCGAGGGAGCTTCGGTGGGGCCACTCCGACTTATTCGGTTTAAGGGCTTACTAAGTCTCCAGCCTCTATTAACGGTAGGTGCGGCTGCAATCGGGCGTCTGTCTTGGACAAAACGGCTAGCTATATGAACGAGTATTCAGTTACGAAACTATCCCCGCCCAGCAATGGGTTGTGCACTGGGTTTGGGACCCGCCACGTAAAAGAACAGCTTCAAGTGAGCGCTTGAAGCTCACGAAGCAGCGCTGCCCGCCATGATATCGAAATCGTGATTGGCGCCTTCAATGCCAGGGTTGGAAAGGAAGGGATCTTTGGAACCACCGTCGTAAAATTCAGCCTAGACGGCGAAACGTCCGATAATGGATTGGGGCTGATCAGCATCGCCGGGGCTCGAAACATGGTAGCAGTACTCGGTTCAAGCATAAAATAAGCCATCAAACTACGTGGCTGTCTCCAAATCGAAAAACGAGAAACCAAATCGATCATGTTGTGATAGACGGAAGACACGCTTCCAGTGTTTTAGACGTACATACACTCCGAGGCCCGAATATGGACTCGGACCAATATCTTGTTAAAGGCCAAGATAAGCACCCGCCTCTGCGCAGCAAACAATGCACGCCAAAATTGCATGGAAATCTCAGCGTTGAAAAGCTGCAGTCAAAACAGATGGCCAATGCATTCACTATTCGACCCTCACCTACTCTCGGAGAGCACTTTTCAACAAACCGACATATGCGAGCAGTGGATCCACATATCCCGTTTAGTAAGTACAGCCTCCGAAGAAGTAGTCGGATTTAAGCGAGCCCATAAGAACAACTGGTACGATGAGGAGTTGTAAAGAAGCTGCATAGAAACAAGTAAGAGCAGCGCTGTCTTCGGCTATGCCGAAGGCTTCATACCTTTCATGAACATCTGCAAATTTTACTTTGACAGATTACTGCTTTTGAATACATCTGCATACATCGATAGAGGAGTTACATACTTATATAAAAAATCGCATCTAAACAATCAGAGGTATGGAAGATGATTTTCACCGCTATGTGATCGGTATGTAAACCGGTAACACAATTTATTGGGTTCAGTTTCGTACATAAAGGAGATATATGGCAAAAACTGGTATCTTAACAATCAGTGCTATAGGAGATAAAGCTTATACAGCATAGATTTTGACGAGTTTCTCAGTAGACTTTGTATTATTATTTATAAAATATCTTACGAAATTTATCGGTTTTAGCTGTTCAAATAAAGGAGTTTTACAGTAAAATCCCATATCTGAACAATCAGATGTATGGAAGATATATGTTGTAGTCATCCGATCCTTGTTATTTTCACTGTAAGTATTCTGTTAATAATGAGTGAAAATGGTGCGAAATTTCATGTTCCTAGCTGCATAAATGGAGGAGGTATGATAAAAGACCTCATATCTGAACAATCAGTTGTATGGGGGCTGCAGGTTATAGTGACCCGATGTTTGTTATTTTCGCTGTAAGTCTTCTGTTGATAATGAGTGAAAACAGCGCGAAATTTCATGGTCCTGGCTACATAAATGGATGAATTATAACGAAAAATCTCATATCTGAACAATCAGTTGTATGGGAGCTATAGGTT